GCTGCTGGCGTTTGAAGAGCTACTGTCCCTAGGGACAGTGAGGACAACTTTCTTTGTGCCAAAGAATCCTTTCGTTGGGAAATCAATAGGTTCCTTTTTTGACAACCTTTGACTACTTCCTCTCTCTGAAAAAAAATATATAACAACCACCTGATGTAAATTCTTGTCAAATTTAGGGGAATGCACTGAGTTTCTAAACTACATAACCGGTCAAAAGTGGACAAAATCAAAATCATTTCCATAAGAAAATAGCACTTCTGCAAGGGGACGAGCTTTTGTTGAGTAAACACGTTGCTGGTCCTCAACCAAAGTGGATTTAAACAGAGCCTATTGGGAGTTATCATTGTGAAGAGACATTGACGAACAATCTGTTTTATTCACCATTAGTTTTCCACCAACTTGGGTTAATGCTTTAAATTCATACTATAATTTGTGGTATCTTTTAAAGCTTTCACAATAAACAATCAGCAAATTGTGCACTGTCAGTTCAACATAGCTCAAGATTTCCAATTATCACGCCAAAAACTAGCAACCTAACCAGTTCATAATTCCAAGAAACAATCCACGACTATTACTTCTTCAAGAACAAGACCATTAAAATTGACTAACCTCTGGCAAAATGTCGGTAAACTCTCGCCCTCTGTGGCAAGACTGGAGCAGCCGAAAAACCTAAAAACAAGGTTCCCTCTCTTTCGCAGAAGATTCGGGAATTGGGGATTCCATGTGTAAAAACAGCCATCTCTACTAGATTCTCCAAATGAAAACCTTACAGAAATCAGCGATTAACAAAAACCTAGAAGTTTCGAGCATCAAAATTGAAAGTGTATAGAGGAGGAGACATAGATGATATGAAGCAGTACCATACCGGCGGCAATTGGCTGGTTTATCAATCAAGGATTGAAACTTCTTTTCACGTACAAGTAGAAGAGTGATTACGGCTCAAAGCTCTTGAGATTACAGAAATTGGCGATCAAAACGAAAGCAATTTTAAGGCGGAAGAATGGTGGCTGAAATCAGTCATGAAGGTGCACCAAGGAATGATTGGTTCATAGCTCACCTTAGCCGGTGGAGTATAAAATCTGAAATCAGCTTCTATTTCATATCGCATTTTGGAAAATCTGATTAATTTGGGTCCCGCTATACAAATTGCAGTGTTTTCTTACTCTTTTAATTTTAGGGTGAATTAGTATGTCTCGTTAAAATATAATTTATGCCCCAAAAAATAGTAAATTAAAAATATTCACTTCACATATGATTAATGAAAAAAATGAGAAAAAATATATATAAATTGATTAACATGAACCATTTTCCTCCCTTTTTGGCTAGTTGCGTGGTAAACGGGAAAGCAAAGGTTGTTCGATCTTCTATTAGGTCAAAATCCTAGACGACGAGCTCACCAAACAATGTTACAAGTTTGATAGAAGTTTAAGATATTATCTATTATGGATCTAGAAGCTTTTTAGTTCAGTGTGTATATATGAATAGAAATTCAAATCATTGAACTTTTTAATTAAGAATATATTATTTTAGTCAATTGAGTTATTTTTAGATTGATAGTTATTGTGTACCAATATTTATAAATAAAAATATCAATAGACAATTTAATTTAATGAGCAAAATAACTAACTTAAATAGGTTAAATTAATAAAAATACTTTACATTATATTTAAAAAAGATAAAAAGATATTTTTATGTGCTCAAAATTTTAAAAAGTCTAAAAAATATATTTTTATTCATAGTTTTAGATGAAAATTATTTGTAATTTATTTTTAAAAATATTTTTAAGTTAATTTTATGTTTAAATAGTAAAAAGTTAAAAATTTTATTTCGATGGTTTATTAACTTCATAGATTATTTATAAATGTTTTAATGTTAGCTTAGAAAGTTGAGACATAATTTTTAATTTTTTTATAAGAGTAATGAAATTTTGAAATATATATATATATATATATTTAACGAAAGATTTAAAAGTATTTTAAAAATAAAATATTAACCATTTCTATTAAAAACTGAAATCTGTTACACCCACCTGCTACAAAAAAGGAAAAACGCCGTTTTGTTCATATTCTTCCGTGCATTGTTTGTGTAATTAATAATTAATTATGATAAACCTGGTTGACCCTTCTCCCGTATCTTGCGAAATCAGCAACCATTTTAGTTTTGATTATTCGGTGGTTCCCATCAATTTTGTAAATAATAAAATCTATGTCAAAAATACATTTATTAAAATTCAACCACTTAAATTCAAATTAATTATGTTTACTCTAAAATTATTTATTTTGTGTTTACATTATGAGCCATTTGGTGGAAGTTATAAAATCCAGGTATGAATACTTTATATATATATATACAATATAACTAGATTCTAACCAATTTTAATAATTAATATACATTTTTCGTCTATTTTAAAATTTAAAATTTAAAATTTAAAATATATTATTTTGTGGATGCCAACTTCATATAAATATATACACATTTTCATCTATATTAAAAAAAGTAAATTAACTAATTTTGAAATAGTCATATTCAAATTTGAATTTTTAAAAATTAGGTAAATATATATTTATTTGCTTATAAAATACATTGATTTATTATAAATTCAAAAAAACAATAAATAGTAAATAGAAAAAGTCACAAAAATAAATAGAAAATTTGCAAGATGAAAAATGAAATAAGAACGTTTGGTCTCCACCTTGAATATCTTTAATTTCAATCGAGCCTAATCATTCTATTCTCGTCCCATAAACATCTCTAGTTTCAATTCAACCTAATGAATGAATTTTTCAAACCTTAATTGATAATACAAAGCAACAACAAAGCAACAAAAGCAAGTTCGGTGTGATATGGATAGTAGATAGGGCCAAAGCACTTCTTCAATGCCAGAGTGGACCAAAGCTCTTTTTCTGTAGGCCAATAATAATAAATTATTATAAACTATGATTTAAATAATAATAATAATAATGAATATATAAATTTAGGGCATGGAGAGTTTGGTGGTTGCGAGGGGCAAGTAAATCGAATCAAATTTTGCCATTCCCAATCATTTGTTGGGTGCTCTGTCTTTATTATTTATTACCAAAATATATTTTTATATATATTTTTTTGGCAAAGGTCTCAATATTTTTATTTTTATTTTAACTAAATCAACGCAATTTAATTAATTTCTAGCTTTCTTCTGCCACATTAGGTGCATCCGAATCTTGGGCAATTTTATTTTCACAAGCTTTAAATATTTATTATAAAATTTTAATTAGTTATTTTATGTTTATAATTCTATTTTTATTTTTTCAAGCTTCTATTTAAATTGTGTTTATTTAAATAAATAGTTAAATATTTTAAAAAATCAATTTTAATTTTATTTTATTTTAAATAATTGGTGGACTAATTTTTTGGAAAGTCCAAAAAAGAATACAAAGGTTAATAAAGTAATTTTATAATTTAATAAATAAACAGCTCAAAATTAGAGATTTTTAATAATTTAACCCCAAAAAGAAACCGGCCAATTTTTTTTCTCTCTCTGTCGTATTCATGCATAAATTCAAGCATTGGCGAGAGAGATTCCATTATCGGCGCAACTACCACTTTCCCCACTTTTGCCAAACAAGCACTCTCTATGGGGAACTCAGCGTTCTGTGCGCCTTCGATGGCATTCAATGGCGCCGCGAAGGTCTTAACCTTAGACGGAAACTTGCAGAGCTTCACGAAGCCAGTGAAGGCCGCTGAATTAATGATCGAGCATTCCGGAAAATTCCTCTGCGATTCCGGCGATCTCAAGGTCGGCCACCGGATTCCAGGCCTTTTGACGGAGGAATATCTTGAGTGCCGTCGATTGTACTTTCTACTTCCGATGGATCTTCTTTACTCTGTGTTGACGATCGAGGAAATGAGTTCTCTCACCTACATCGCTACGAAGGCTCTGAAACGTGGAAATTCGAGTGGATTTGGAAGGATCTTCCCTGTTTTGATCAGTGAACTCTGTATTTTTCCGTCGGATGTCAATGGATTGAAATCGGCGGACGGCGATGGAGAGAATAATCAAAGTTCAAAGCCGGTGCAGAGATTGATGTCGAAACAGAGATCGTGGAAGCCGGCGCTCGAAACCATTGCTGAAACTTCGTGCACATAGAAAGAAAGAGGATCGCAATCGAAATCGCAAATACGTGTGAGATTAATTACATTACAAATAATGCATAGCATTTTTGCTTCGACAATCGTAGATACAATAAACATCGGAAATTTTATCCATTCTTCATAGATATATATCATTGTATATATTGTGAAGTGATGAGGGGATGCAAGTCTTTTTCTGAACATTTTCCTTTTCCTTTTCCTTTTCCTTTCGGATATTGTGTAGAATTGACTTTCAATGGAAATGGAAAAGTCTAAGCAAACATAGTGGCCATCACTTCTACTTCAGAAATCCAAATCAAGTTTTATTCCATAGATGATTTTGAAATGTTTATGATAGGCTATTAACTTTGAAAGAAGAAATATAAACTTCTACATAAATACGGAACTTTCACTTTTTTAGTTTCTTGTGTTCAAACTTGTAACAAATAACGACCTAACCCCACAAAAAAGTTAATCAACATTTTGGTAAAATTGGTTATAGAAATCTGCAAATTTCAGCACTGAATTCTCCGCCATTAAAGCCTCACCTCCATCGATCAATTTCAGTAACCCTAGTTCCAGATCTCACTTCCAACTCCATTAACGTCTACTACAAGATGAGCCCTCCCTCAATGTCTAGATATCACACCAATTACATTACTGTGCGTTTTCTTTTTCCCTCAATCTGGAAAAGATGGAAATAAGGAAATATTTTCAATGTCGTTTGGTTTGTCTTTTTTTTCTTTTTTGAGTTCCTTAAAGTAGACCATACCTATTTAATAGTGAAAAGTTAACCGAGTTTGGAACGATTCTAGGGGATTATGACGTCATAATCTTAGTTGGACATGGAACGCGTTCAGTGTTTTCTTCTCATTTATTAGTATTAATACGTTTCGATGTTATCAACATATATATTGACCTTGCTCTCTCATCTCTGAAAGGTATTCCAATGGCGGATCAGACCCAGAAGCCAGAGCTTTTTGAACTCAACAATGGAACCATTCAGGTTCTCCTTTCCAACCTTGGTTGCACCATCATTTCCCTCGTTGTTCCGGACAAAGATGGTAACTAGCAATTTGTATTTGACTTTTTCCGTTCAGTTTTTCGTGGTTTTCTTTCTGAGATCGTACTATATTGAATTTTGAAGGGAAATTGGCTGATGTCGTCCTTGGACTCGACTCTCTAGACTTGTATCAGGTAAGATTTTTCGCTTTTTCTGGCGATCCATTTGAGTTCGATGTTCCGCGATTCAAATCAAATGATTGTGGATATGTCGAGATTGACGGAATTTTAGGGTTTATATATGGCCTGCATGATTGTGAGGATTGCGATTGCAGGAATTGAGCTGAATTTCGTTGTGTTTGTGGATACGAGTTTCTTATGTTGGTTGGATTTCATTGTGAACAGGAGGGTCTTTCACCTTATTTTGGCTGCATTGTTGGTCGAGTCGCAAACAGAATCAAAGACGGGAAGTTTACACTCGATGGGCAAGAATACTCTTTGTCTATTAACAGACCTCCAAACAGTCTCCATGGTAAGGAATTGGAAAATTCAAATATCTGTTATCTCTTGGATCTTGAATTGCAGAGAATTCTAAACGAAACCTTATATTTTATTCAAATAATGTCCTGAGCTGCTGTGAATTAATTCTTTGATCGTCGACTTTTAGTTCCCCATTTGTTATTTCAACTTTATATTCGAGCGTTAAGTTTTTTCCCCATTATCTACCTTGACGGGAATCTTGGATGTTGATCGCGTTCATATCAGTCTATATATGGGCTTAAAATGTTTCTGTTTTTTTTTTTTTTTGTTTAATTTTCTGCTAATTGAAGTACCCTCTTCAGATATGTTACATTTCAGAGTGATATGAGAACACGGAGGAAACTTTTGTCTGTGTGATACCATCTTTAGGAGTAGTCTAAAGCATTGTCTCTTCTTCCTTCAGGTGGGCACCAAGGATTTGACAAGAAATTATGGGAGGCGAGCAATTACATAAGGGGCGAGAATGCATCGATCACCTTTAAGTATCGAAGTGCTGATGGAGAGGAAGGTATGATAATGTTGGTATTCACTCTTTTCCGTTCATCCAACTGATAATACTTACGAACATTAGCAATTTTTTCCCCTGGTAATAGGTTACCCAGGAGCTGTCTCCGTTACTGCAACTTACACACTCACTTCAAGCACAACAATGAGGCTTGACATGGAGGCAATCCCTGAAAACAAGGCCACCATAATCAACTTGGCTCAACACACCTACTGGAACTTAGGTGGGCATAGTTCTGGGAATATTCTCAACCATTCAATTCAACTTTGGGCAAACCATTTTACTCCAGTTGATGAGAACACGGTCCCAACCGGTGAAATCGTGCCTGTCAAAGACACCCCCTTTGATTTCACTGCTGAGAAGACGATCGGTAGCTCTATTAATGAGGTTGGCATGGGATATGATCACAATTACGTGCTCGACTGTGGAGACGAAAAATCAGGTTTGAAGCATGTTGCAAAAGTGAAGGAACCATCAAGTGGAAGGGTCCTGGACTTGTGGAGCAATGCCCCTGGAGTGCAGTTTTACACTGGCAACTATGTCAAGGATGTTGTGGGCAAAGAACGTGCTGTTTATGGTAAGCATGCAGGTCTGTGTTTGGAGACACAAGGATTCCCCAACGCGGTGAATCAACCCAACTTCCCATCTGTTGTGGTTCAACCGGGCGGGAAGTACCAGCACACCATGCTATTTGAGTTTTCAGTTGAATAGGTTGCTGAGTTTTATTGTGACAATAATAAGGTTCATTTCCATGCTATTTGGTTCTTGTTTTATCAAACAAGTGGATGAGTTGTTTTGAGACAATAGGAATCCTACAGTTGTTTCAATTGCTTGTGTGATTTTGAAGCATCATATTCTTTTAAAGGTATAGAATCCCAAGCATCATATTCTTTTAGTTGGAGATGTCACCATTTTTTTTTTCCTTCTTATATTATCAGTGAGCGTTCGGACTGATGAAAGATATCGCCTTTTAAGGCCACCGTTGTCCACAACATCCTTTACCTTACGAATCTCTTGACCCTATCGAAAATACTTGGCATTCAATGGTAGTTTTTGGTTTATGGGATTCTTGATGCTATTCCAAGACATGTTTGGATGATTAGTAAATTTTGAACATGGAAGTCCAATAAATCTGTCCTTTCAAGACTTGGTAAATCAAATGGATGACTATAGGTAACTGAGCTTAACATTGGAGTATCATAGCCAAAACGACTATATGTAACATAAGTGGACAATATTATATGTAATACTATAATATTGGGGTATCAGAATGACTATATGTAACAGGGCTAGACACTGGGGTATCAGAGCCATAATGACTCTATGTAACATAAGTGGACAATATTAGCGGTGGCTGGACTATAGAGCCAAGCACTGTGAGATCCATCGTGAAGCTGACGGCAAGACGTAACGGGCTGGATTGTGAGATCGTACATCGACTGGAGAAGAGAATGAAATGAAGCATTCTCTAACGGCAAGACGTAACAAGCTAGATTGTGAAATCCCCCGTCGATTGGATAAGAGAATGAAGCATTCCCTAAAACCTCTCTCTAGTAGATACCTTTGAAGAGGAGAAGGAGAAGGAAAAGGAAAAGGAAAAGGAAGATCACACCAAAATAATAATAATAATAATAAGGAATGGATAAAACCCTCATTTCTAGACTATTGGTGCGACAATACTCATTAAGTGAATAAACATCCCATGGAATTGGAAAGAGAGAAAATTTATATACTTGGAGCCAAAATAATGGCATAAAATAGTTGTTTCATCTTTCCGTGGGTGACTCCCATAGACGTTCCTGGTTCTCGGCACTTATTTCTTGTTTAGGTCGCTCACAATTGCAGTTGCGGCACATCATGTTCCGTCTGTAATTTAAAAAGTCACATCTACAGAAGGCAAATGCTTTGGCATTAATACTTTTGTAACTTGAATCAAAACGTATGGGTGCCAGAGATGGTAAGCAAACTCACGAGGGGCATTCCCATTCTCCTGGACTCAGCTCCCTCTTTGGACGATGTTCTCGGCATCGCAAACATTCCTTCTTGCTCGCAAAGTTCATGAATTCACATCTGAAACAAGTTTCACTTAGATAAGCTCTCCATGTCATTTTGTCAAATAAGTGTTATGTACTTACTGCGGGCAGATCCAATCTCCCTTCTTCATTCCAATTTCTTCAACATTCATCTTCTTCGGCCTCTTGCTTTTGCACTTTAAGCAGTGAATGTTTCTTGAGAAGTTCATGAATTTACACCTATTCCAGAATCACCAGAACATGTAACAATTCAATCATGGATGATGATACTTTATATTTATTGCCTTCAACTCATTAGAATATCGCCTAATTTATCTATAAGGTCTCAGTAGAGAAACTACCAATATTTAAAAACTGAACTATCTGTGAGCAAGTTCTTACTCTGGGCAGATCCACAGCCGAGCCCAAACTCACCGCTAGTAGTAGATATTATCCTTTTTGGGCTTTCCCTTTCAAACTTTCCCTCAAGGTTTTTAAAACGCGCTAGGAGGGGGTTTCCACACTCTTATAAAGAATGCTTCGTTCTCCTCCCCAACCGACGTGGAATCTCACACAAAATTGGTCGAGCTAAATTAGTTTTCTACCTGCTTTCTAGCTCCAATTCAAAGCACAGACACTAACAAATACTATCCAGTATGCCATTGTTTTTCACATCAAACGAAACATAGAAATCCAAGCTAATAGAAAAAGAAGTTTAGATATAACTTACTTTGAGCACATCCAATCTCCTCTTTTCATCTCAACATCTTTAGACAATGCATCATTTGTAAGTTTTGATGGCTTTTCTTTTCTAGATGGAGTTTTTGTATCAGCCTTCACTGCTGCAGCTGCCTCAATGGGTTCTTCACTCAGTTCAGATATCTCAGAAAGCAATTTCCTGATAGAGACTTCGACATGCTCTCTACCCAAAGCTTTGTCCCCTCCAGACAAAACAAGTGGATCCAATGCATAGGCCAACAATATTCTAGCTACATCCACAGTTCTTGCAGCTTCTGTTTCCTTCATAATAACATAAGCTCTATCACAGGAGCCTCGAAGGTTGCAAGTACCACAAACCTGTACAGAGTAGATACACTGAAATGAAACACAGGCCTTATATGGCAAAATAATTATGATGTTTAAGTGAGAATACATACCTCCCCTTCATCTAGATGCACATAAGCCCTTAACCTTTTAGCTGAATTGACAACTTTCCGGAAGAGATTGGGACATCCATCCTTCATAACCGTTTGGATATCATCTCTGGACAATGACCTGCACCAAGAATAGCCAAGGATTCTAGTCGAGCCATGAGAAATGTACCCGTGTGAGATTCCACATCGGTTGGGGTAGAAAACTCTTCCTAACATACGGGTTTTAACGCTAACGACGATGTGTAATGGGCAAAAGTGGATTGCTAACAGTAGACTTCGATTGTTACAAATGGTATCGGCCGTAAGATTGGATGGTGTGCTAGCAAGGACGCTAGGCTCCCAACTAGAGTGAATTGTGAGATCACACATCGGTTGGGGTGTTGCATTCCTTATAAGCATGGGAAAAACTCTCCCTAATAGATACGCTTTAAAATTATGAAGCTGAAGGCTATACGTAATGGCTAAAAATATTTGGTAGTGGTGGGTTTTGACCGTTACAACCTAAAATCCCAAAGCTCACTACCAAAGTTCACTACAAGTGTACTTTATGTTAGACGAACACGACTCTCTACAATGGTATGATATTGTCCACTTTGAGCATAAGCTCTCATTGTTTTGCTTTGGGTTTCAAGAGGCCTCAAGCTACCAATAGAGAGAGTATTTGTTAATTATAAACTCATAATCATTCTCTAAATTAGCGAGTGAGTTTCATCATCCAACATTTTCATGGGTATGAATCATACATTCCCAAATAATGCAACCATCACCAAGTCAGTATCAAATCCAATTTCAATTCAACAATTCTAAAAGAAAAACTCACTCTAAAATATCGTGGCGGTCGCGCGCAAAGCTAAGGCAAGCATCCTTCAGCACGTTCATGTCATTGTAATCAGTCTCGGATGGCGTCACTGCATCACCACCGCTCCCATCTCCGTTTGCATCCTCCGAAGGAGGTTCGATCAAGTAACCTTTGGCCTTCAGGCCGTCGACAAAGGAAATCCATTCAGGCCAGGGGTGGTGAATGAGGCTGGAGTGTGGTTGAGGCGCATCAACGCCGCCGTCGCCGGCGGAATCTAGCGTAGTAGAAGAGCTGCAGTTGATGAAGAATCTTCTGGGGAAGAGGAGTGGCGATAGAGATCTGGATGTTGCTCGGGAGATTGCAGTGCCGAAGTGTAGGAATTTTGTAGGGGACATGACGACTGTTTATGCTGGATTTCAAAAAATGTATATATATATATATATATCTTTTTTTACCTAAATATTCCGCTTGCAAAAAAAGAAGAAAAAACGGCGGTAAACTTGTAAAACCTATTTAGTTCCGCCACTGGCGGCGGTCCTCCTATCTCCTCGATTCCATCGCCGGTGGCTCTGCCCGAGCTGCGTCGTTGGGCGTGGTTGAGGCTGTTACTTCTCCAGCCGCTGCTGTTTCCATGTCCCAGGTACGAAGCGTGTCCGTTTTGTAATAAAGTTAAAGGTGAACTTTTAAATTTCTTGTTCTCGTTGATCTCAATCTTCTGATTAGTTTTATTGGCGATGAATCTGTGTTAGTTTCGAGGGATTTTTGGAAGGAATTTTGGATTAGTAATTGCTGGGAAATTTACATTTTGGATTAGTAATCTTCTGATTGTACTTTTCAAATCCCTCCTTTGCGGTTGCATGCCCGTGTGCACTTAATGACGATGTTTCACTTTTAATCTCAGTTTTTCTTGACTACTACGATGTACCATACAAAGTTGTCGAGGTCAATCCATTCAGTAAGAAAGAAATTAAGTGGTCGGAGTATAAGAAGGTGCCAATATTGGTGGTTGATGGCGAACAGCTGGTTGACTCCTCAGGTATTGTTTCATTGTTCTGAATGTTCTACTTTATATTCGAAATAGTAAATCTCTATCTGTATTACTAACTCCTGGCAATGGCATTGCTGCAGCCATAATCGACCAGTTGAGCCACAAGGCTTTGTTGGATAAGAATGCTTCTTCTGTCTCTGAAGATGATGAAGAAACTAAGTGGCGTAGGAGGTTTTTTCTTCTGTATCTAAATCTCTTTTCCATGCAATTGAATTTCACATGTGAATTTTGTATCCAAGGGGGAGGGAAGAGGGATTGACGATTGGTTATTAGGTTCGGCCACTTATATCTGTATGTTCATATGCTTGATTATAGATACAACATATGTGAAATTGTTTAGTGTTGAGATTCTGAAAATTTGTGATAGAAAAGAAAAGGCTACGTATGTTCTGCGTCTTGTTGGGCTATTGGACAGTTCCATCTGGTTTAAACTTGAGCTAAAACCAGATGCATGGTGGTTTAGTGACTTGCAAGTCCATTTTTGGGTGTGTGTGGTGGTGGTGGGGGGATGATAATTGAATTCTTATTCATTATTAGTATGAAACCTTTTGGTTTTTGATTTCTTTCATTTGTTTAAATTTAAATTGATGCAGATGGGTAGACAATCACTTGGTACATGTCTTATTCATTATTAGTATGAAATCACTTGCTAGTAATGGTATGACCAAAGCATGAATTTTTTACTGAAATGTTCTTCTTAACAAACAAATCTCCACGTTGATCGAGGATTTTCATTGGCATTTTTTGGTAGTCCGCTTCAGTCAGTCTTTACTCTACACCTCAAAGATTTCCATGTGATGCTAGGGAAATTTCGAAATTCTCCTTTATTTGGATAACAATTTATACTGTAGGTAGTTTATGATTATGTTGGGAGATTAAACTCTTGATGATTATGTTGGGAGATTAAACTCTTGATTTTGAGCGTTGGATCAAGATTTGATTCTCTATAACAGCCAAACCCTAGCATATATTGTCTTCATGGGGGTTTCTCTTCCGGGCTCCCCTTCAAAATTTTTAAGATGCTTCTACTATGGAGAGGTTTTCTATACCCTTATAAAGAATGATTCGTTCTCCTCCCCAACCAAGATGGGATCTCACAATCTACTCCCTTCGGGGCCCAGCGCCCTCGCTGACACTCGTTCCCTTCTCCAATTGATGTGGGACCCTCACAATCTACCCCCCTTCGGGGCTTAGCCTCTTCGCTGGTACATCGACCAGTGTCCGGCTCTAATATCATTTGTTATTGTCCTCTTTGGGCTTTCCTTTCCCGGCTTCCTCTCAAACTTTTTAAAACACGTCTACTAGGGAGAAGTTTCCACAACTTGGGCGGTAGGGTTACTTCATTTTGATTTAGGATTAACAAAATATGAGCTTAGGTTATTGATTTTATTGAGTTTGGGATCGAGATTGAAAATAAACTTCGTGAGTATTGAGTTTGTTAAGCTATATTTAATTCATCCGCTTGTCTTGTCAATTCTATTCTTAGGTAATTTTGGCTTTGTGGAGAAGACTACTGTAGAGTATGCTGGAGCCGCCGCTATGTATTTCATATAAAAGAAATGAAAGAAATATAATATTACCGATGAGCGTGCAGCGTCATACGAAGCAGCAGAAACGTGGGTAGATGCTTTGGATGGACGGGACTTTCTAGGTCTGTACTCTGTAGTGTTAACTGTTCTTTTATCTTTTTTTCCTCTCTTCTTTTCACCCTTGGAGTTTGTTTTTTAAGCATTAGTCTGTTTTCATGAAAAGTTTCATGTCTTGTTAAAGAGAAGAAAAGAAGAAAAGGAGGTTTCAGACATCAATTTAGGACTTAAACATGTAGTTGGTCTTTTAGAATCAATTGTCCTTCACATAAACGCTTAGAGATATGTCAAATTCACAACCTTCTGTTTGAGTATTTTTCTTCGAATGACGTGAAGTTCATTAATGGTTGTTGTTTTGCGTTTTTAGGAGGCTCAAAGCCTAATCTAGCTGATCTTGCGGTGTTCGGGGTATTAAGAAGCACCCATACGTTACTTGAGGTCTGGGAAAGACATGGTGGAGAACACACGCATTGGTGAGTGGTACACCAGAATGGAGAGCACTGTTGCAGACTCCTCCACGATCATATCCTAATCTCTCCTCTCATCAACTCATTTTCTGGGCCTTGGTTACCCTTTGTTCTTCTCTTTGTGGGTACACAAAGTCTATATATGCAAATTTTTGATGTCCTAATTGATTTTTTGATCAACTGCCATTGTGTTACCATGAGAAATGGTGTCATCAGTATCAAGGTAATAAAAAGAATCTCCCTCTGTCTTCCCTTTTATACTGTTTTAAGTGTTCCTCTGTTTTTTAAGGTGAATGTACTGTTGATGCGAATCAATATATCGAGCATAATGATCGTTCTTCTACTCGGACGTTAATAGCCCGTTTTATTGGTTGTACTCTGAAATTTTAAACTTCACTAGAAATTTTGAATCTTCCAACTTGAAGAAAATGAATTAAATGATAATTTTAATGATAACCCATAATTAGAAATTAAATTATAGCCAATGTAATCAATTATGAAGTATGCGGCGCTTTGTGAAATAGGGTTTTTTAGTAATATTACATTATAGCACCAATGAAAGAAACATTAAACTTACATTTTATAGTCACGAGATTGATCGAGCTCTACGTACTTGGGAGAGGTTGATCTAAAATGTTTTAATCATTAGATTTATGCTTAAGTTAGCAACTTAAGCTTTATATCTTTATAATTAACTTATATTCATCGTCGTTGGTGCTCGATCCTCTGTTATGATCATTGTATGGCAGCTGTGCCTCTTTTATCGGTAGTTGTAGTATATTTTTCTGTCCATTCTAATAGTTTGCTCATCGTCACATAGATCAATAAATGTTGTGTTAGTTAAGATAGATACGATTTTTAAACATAATTGAAAGTTTCTTAAATTTTTTATATTTATATAATTTATGTAGAAAAATATATAAAACTAAATTCATGGTTTCGGCCCCAAAAGCCAAAATTGATAGAGAAGGGGGAGAGAGAGAGAGAGGAACAAAAAAGGCTTCATCATATCCCCTCTATTGTCAATACCTCCAAGCCGGCTACTCTAATTGTTATCTTCTCTCCGCCTCTGCCTAAAACCCTCTTCCTCAATCGGAAACACCTTCCTAGGGTTTCCAACGCTCTTCTTCCGAGCATTCATGGCGTCCAATTCTGCGAACCTTTGGGTCCTGTTGGGATTGGGTTTGGCTGGAATCCTGTTGATCACGAAAAAGCTTAAGAAAGCCATTAGAGAGGATTTTGGAGCGTTTATAGAGAAGCTTCAGCTACTTCCTCCTCCTCAGCCTGCTCCTCCTAAAGCCCCTCATCCCCTGACCGGTCTCACCTTCGCCGTTTCCGACGTGTAGGCTTCACAGTATTTCATTTTTCGTTTTGTTATTGTTGTTATTGTATTTTTTGTCGTCGTTGTTGTTTTGGTCGGTTTTTCTTTTCACATACATATTGCGAGCGAGTGGAGGCGCTAAACGAGTTGATATAAAACGCATCTTGAATTTCTTCACCGAGTAAATTTAGCGTTGTTGATTACCTTGTGACAAGTTGAGTGCTTTGCATTTATTTTAATGATGGGCTTCATCCGTTCCTTCCATATATTTGCATTTTGGATTTAGGAAAAAGAAAGATGGGGAATCTATGAAAAAAAAGCTTATGTTTCTCGAGATTATGATCCGTTTTATTTCACCGAGGATTGGTATTCCAATATAAGTGGTGTATATCATATTAAATGTTCTATAACTGCCGTGAGAATCCAATTAAAGTTTCACGTTTGGAAATAATCTGTTTTTTGTTTCTGGAATATGAGAATATCATAGATAACTGTCAAACCACTTTTTGATCATCATGGAGTATTTGGCTAGAGAAAATTAGGTGGATATTTAAGGTTTTTGAGGCCTTGGGAGGAGGTGTGAGACTCGCTTCAATTATTCTGTTTGGGTTTCTATATCCATTTTTTTCCCCTTCAATTATTATAATTATTATATTTTTTCTCAATGGTTGGAGCTTATTATTGTAATTTTGTATGTTATTATAGGTTCACTTTTGTTTCAGGCCTTTGTTTTCTGTTCAACGATCAGCTGTTCTTTTTATATTTTCAATGAAATTTTAGTTTCACATTAAAAAAAAGGATATCTATCATAACTAATTGTCTACAACATTTGATGACGATTCATGATGACACGTTCGTTCTCTCTATTTGAGCATTTTCTAGTTAGTTCCTAAAGTGGAGCATTTATATATGGTAATAACCAGATTTGAAATTGAAGGACATGTGACTGGGTTTGGTCATCCAGACTGGGCAAGAACACATGATGCAGCTTCTCGTACAGCTCCAATAGTTTCTGCTCTTGTTGAAGGAGGAGCTACTTGCATCGGAAAAACTGTTGTCAGTGAACTGTCAATGGGGTAAATATTTTTCTTAAAGTTTGTGTGTTTCAATTTTATCACAGAGCGGTTGAATGAAAGTTCATTAGATGTATGGATCGATAA